AATTGAAGTAAAATACATAATTATAAATTATAAAGCAGTTAAACAGCCAAATAATTTAGCTACTCAGCTGAATTTAGTCAAGAAGACCAACTCCATAGGCAGCTAGCCCGAGGCAGTCTAGAATCAACCTAAACACAGCACAAATACTATTAACAAAAAGCTCCCAACAGAAAAATAACACAACTTCCAAATACAACTCCTAAACGGGAGACAAAAACACACAACTAGACAAAGAAAACACAAACACACAACAAAACAAAAACACAAAAACTACTACTACTACTACTACAATAACACCCTCCCCGCCAGCCGACTAGCACTTAGGACCTTCGCCACTCGATCGACTCCAAAGCGGAAAACAGAAGAGGCTCCAGCCCCCAGCCCAAACACACGGGTCGAGAAACTCCCCTTACGGCTAACTCGACCCTGACCACGGACTTGAATCCTCCCCCGAAAGACCACCACAGTCAACTCCGACAGACCAAAACCAAACGCCCTCCCCGCCTCATCAATCGGCTTCGCAGCCCAAGGACCACCGCCACCGAAAGAGTTGAAGACGGAAAACACGAAGCCCCGACCTCTAGCCGACAGCCGCACAAACTGGCGACCACCGCAAAAGGACGAAAACACTTGACATCATCCATCGTTAGCTCGTCGGAGGAGCAGCCAAACCAGAGTGATTAAGAATAAATTATTTTAGTTTTGATTTTATCTATTGGATAAAGTGAGCTTAATTTTGAATAATACTGATTGAGTGGATGATTGAGTTTGTATTTGCATAATATTTAAAATATAATAATTAAAGTTGATTTGATGTAAAATATTGAAAATGTGATTAAAAATGACGGGTAGTTTAAAAAAATGTGAGTGGATAAATAGTAAAATTTGTTAAATGTGTTGTGCGAGTATGATTGATTGACATTTTTTTAAATTATATTTATAAAAATTAGAAGAATTAAGTGAGATCAAAGTTAAGTTGAATTTTGAGCTAAAAATATGTAAAAAAATTATTCGTCCATTAAAAACCAACTTTGACTTCTTTCCAATCCCCCTTAGCCTATCATTAGTACTCAAACTCATTGGATGTTAAATAAAATCGACCAAATTTAATATAATGATCCATGGTGTCATGAACAAGTTCATTCAATTAATTTATTCCTGACCGTAAAAATACATTCGAATCACAAAGTCGACTTTAGTCCGACAGTAAAAATGCCCTTTATCACAAAGTCTAACAAAATGACAACACCAAATTAAAGTCTGGCATTCCATTATATTATGCTAAGCCAATCATTTTGTCCCATGTTTACAACTGGAATCCTTTTTATCAATGTGTAAAGATTTTCCTAATCATTTTGGTTAATTAATTATATTTAGAACAAAAAGTGGATGGTCCAAACTCCAAACATAATAAAAGTAAGCAACGCTAGCGTACGTGATCACGACCAGATTTCTATTTGCATGTTCTTTGTGGGCACACTTTTAGTATTTAAATTATTCCATCACAAAATTTGGTGTGAGAATGTAATGATTAGAAGGGTGAATCCATCTAGACATGGCTACAAGTCATTCTGACAGTCGACTCAACTTGAACTCGGTCCGGTCAAACCCGTTGACCTCAGGTCTGGGCCTGTGCCTGTACATGGGTGTTTGTTTAATCCATAATGTTATATAAATAAAAGTTTATTCCTATAATATCAAAGTAGTATAATATGTGTATAGTACACGAGTGTTTGTTTAAAAATTTATACCCAAAATTAAAAAATAATAAACAAAAAATTATTTTGAAATCTTAAATTTTTTTTCACTATATTATTATTTATATTGAAAATAATACTCGTCACTTATACAACTTACTCATCTTATATTATAATATTGGTTAATTTATATAATATAACTACATTGTAGTTAAATTAACTTAAATTATTAGATAATTTAACTTTATTATAAAAGTAAATATAATTTATTTTGTATGCACAGTATAGATGTTAAATCAAAGGTCATCAAGATATGAATAATTTGATATATTATATGTACAAAATTTATAATAAATTAAAAAACGATTAAGTTTTAAAATATATTCATAAATTTAAGTTAGTGTTTTTTTTATAATTTTAAATGAAATAATGAGGAAAAGAAAAAATGAGAAAAAAATTATGCCTTACAATAGAAAATGTTATTAGAACATAATTAATGCTTCTAAAAAGGATTATATATCCAATATATTTACAGTTAGTTTAGGCCTACTTATATTTGGCTTCAAAGTAAATTAAAATCTACTCAAACCAAATGACAAAACATGAAAAATTGGCACATAGTATCTCAAAGCGTGCGAGTCTGCCACATAAGCTTAGCACATTCAAAAGTTATATATAAGGAGATAACATACGTTTATTAAGTATGAAATTTTGTATTAAATGTATGTATATTTGAGAAGAAAATATGTTGGCCTAAAGGCTAAGCCGGCCTATCAAAAAACCTACCGTTATTCTATTAACGTAGTTTGTTTTATTTGAAATCTTGATAGCTTATTCCAATCAAGATACAACAATGAACATTCACTTACTATTTGTTATTGATGGGTTTTACTTTTGCTTTACTTTTACTGTTAAACCGATTGAGAACCATTCCTCTATTAACCCGAATGAGGACCAATTCTAGAGTTCAATGAATTAAATGAAATTTACATGTAAGCAGATTGTTGCCACCTAACTGTCACGTTAGAAAAAATAAATAAATGAATTTATACGTAAGCGTAGCCGGTCACCGTGACCTTCTACAGCCGGTCAGAAGATCAAAAAACTATTTTTTTCACTTAGATGGCTATTTCAAAAAAGCACCTTTACTGAGACCAAAAGTACTCAATGTCTCGCTACGCTTCGATGACGCTAAAAAGGGGACAGTTAAGGGACTAAAAAACCTTTTTTTGCCATTGATTCTCATCGACCAAAAGTTGATTACTTTCCATTTTAAAAGTAAATAGAACTACAACTGTTAAATGAATTGAGTTGTGTATGTGCTTAATTCATTAAGGCTCGAGTTCGCTCGGCTCATTTACTGAGCTCACACTTAAGTTCGAAAAAATAAAAGTTTTATGTAATTTTATGAACTATTATATTAGTTTGGCTTGTTAATTTTAATTAACCATGCGAGCTTGAACTTATTTATCGACTGGATTAGTTGACGAGCCGAGTTAAATTATTGAGAGTCTGAGTTCAGCTTGCTAATTGTCGAACTTGAATTCATTTATCGGCTCAATTAATTAACAAGTCGAGTTCTACTCACCTCGATATATATAGGCTCGAGTATTAAGAACTAAAGTATCAAAGCTCGACGTGACTTTGTTTACAACTCTAACCTCCTAAAAATATATTGATATTGAGAAAATAAATGAAGCTTTAATTGTAGTTAGGTAAAACCTTACGGGATTCTTGTGATGACCCATAAGAATGTCCCATAGATCGTGTTCATTCTAGAAACCACAAAAATTATGCTACCAAAATTAGAGAAAAACAAAGAAAAATATCAAATAGCAATTGAAACTTAAATGCACCAATAAAATGGAAANTAGGGCAATTGATTGAAAATTTGCTACCGACGTAAAAAGACAAGTAAATAAGAAAAGAAAAAAAAAAAAATCAAAAATATTGTCTTCAAGGGGTTTTAGTAGGGTTTTCAGTCTTCTGTATTTCCCCGCACCTTAGAGCTATAGATAAGGGAACTTTTATTTCTTCTATTTGCCAAGAAAAAGTAAGAAAAAGAGAAAATAAGAAGTGAAAAAATGGGTTCTTTGAGAAATGATCAAACAGAGATAAGATTGCCTGAACAAAAGGGAATTGCAGAGGAAGAGGAAGAACCCATTTTAATGGAGCAACCACAGAAGTTTTGTATGTTTCCAATTAAGTATCCACAGCTTTGGGAGATGTACAAGAAAGAAGAGGCCAGTTTTTGGACCGGTAATACATATGTTGTACAGGCTTATGTTCAATTCTGTTTGTGGGCTCTTTCTATTGGAATAAATTTTATTACTTTTTGTCCTGTCAGCGTCAGGTGTTCAGAGCGATTTTAACATATTTTTTTTAGTTTTTTGTTATTTTGATGTTTGCCCTTTTTTTTTTAAAAAAAAAAATTGTCCTACGGTTGGTTAGTCATGTGTAATGTGTTTTTACAACTGGGTTTTTTCCCATATTGGTGTTTTGAACTTATTGTCAAGCATTGTTTTGTTTGAATGAAAGGAATTTTGCTTTCCTCCTGTGCGTATTTGATGCTTAATTAATCTGTAATCTCATACTTTTCCTTTTGCACAATTGCTTACGGTCTTAGGATTGATGGTTTTTACATATATTCTGCCTTATTATTTATTGTTGAAATGTGCTCTGTAACTGATGCTTGGCCTTGCACAGTTAACCTTATAGGATTATACTATGCAATCTTGCATTCGTCTTGGTGAGTTTGCGGACTTACTGCCATGCCATTTTTTCATTCTTTCCTTTCGCTCGTGCCCACTTGTGCTGGGGTAGGGTGAAAGGTTGAGCACTCTTTGCATTTTTCTTGTCAAAGAACTTATTTATTCATGTTTTTTTCCAAACATAAGGGTGTGTTCATGTAGATTGTTGGTTACGGGAAGCTTGTACAAAAAGACATTCGTAATGTCGTGAAAGTTGAACAAATCATCTTTGTACTATGAAAACCTTTGTGCACTTCACTAGAAATATAACGTGACTTATTTAAAGAATCATATTTTCTCTGCATCAAATGTAAATATTCGGGCCGAGAGGTATATCTTTTCATAACTCTTTTGATTTACAATATTTTGACATGGATGCTATCTTGATGCCTTACTTTTTCATTTTTTCTCTTTTATAGCCTTATATATGTTTGTATTTGTATACTAAGTATTCTTATTCTTGATTCATCAAATTTTGGGTATAGCCGAGGAGGTTGACCTCTCACAGGACGTGCAGCAGTGGGAAAATTTGACCCTATCTGAAAAGCACTTCATAAGCCACGTGCTTGCATTTTTTGCTGCCTCTGATGGGATTGTTCTGGAAAATCTCGCCGCAAGATTTTTGAACGACATTCAGATTCCTGAGGTGACAAGCAACTCTAGGAATTCTCTGAGTAGAAATATTTAGGGATATTAATATTATGATGATCACTCATGAGGTTTAGCCTAATTATGAAGACCTTTTTCAAAATTTGGAAAGTACAAAAACCTCCCCTGATTCACCTTTCTTACATGTTGCACTTGTAATGGGATATTTTACAGTTACATCTTGCAAGTTTTCTTAATATTATAGAAACATCCAACTTCTTCTTTTACATCTTACAACTGAACCGGTCAGCTTTTCAATGCATCACGGATAAACCAAATAAGTTATTGGCTTTTTACAATATTGAGAAAAGCTCTAGGGTATAAATATTATAATATTTGAGGATGTTAGCAAATTCCATTGTGTAGCTAACCATGGAGCAAAATGTAGGATGAAATGAAACCTTAGGTTTTTTTTTTTTTCATCATTTTCTAAGTTATCTTATTCATTTTACAGCAATAAAGTAATAAACCCAGGAATAGTTGTTGTGAGTCCTTATTTTTTTTGACAGTATATGACCATTCCATTGAACCTAACTGATGTGTATTGCTCTGGTTTTCTGATAGGCTCGGGCATTTTATGGATTTCAAATTGCAATGGAAAATATACATTCTGGTACATTTTACTGATATGCTTATAGCAATTCGCTTCATATCATGTTTTAATAAAACTGATTTTGATCTTCTTGATAGAGATGTATAGCTTGCTTTTGGAAACATATATCAAGGACTCAAACGAGAAGAACAGATTGTTTAATGCAATTGAAAACATTCCATGTGTTGAAAGAAAAGCCAAGTGGGCATTGAATTGGATTAAGAGGTATTATTATTCTTTACCTGCACTTAATTAACTAGGGCTAGGGAAAACCACAGCTAATGGAATTTAACTGTTGCATTCTGTTTGTTGCTTCATTATATATGTGTCCTTTATGAGAGTACTATATTTTGCTCATTTTCTCTTGACAAATCTTTTAGTTACATAGGATGTTTTTCAATCTTTCGGACTTGTACTAGAGATATATCTACTTTTTATAATGTTTTTTTTTGAAAAAAAAAACATTTAGTACTATTGCATATTGATATAGAAAATGTAGCTAGGTTCAACTCCTGCACTGAGGACATCTGATTTGTGTTGGCTCTTTTGGTCGTTCTGGTCATATTTGTACGGTTATATCACAAATGACATGTAATATTGTGTGATAATTGATAATGATATAATATCAATTGCAGTGCAAGCTCATTTGCAGAGAGGCTAGTCGCTTTTGCTTGTGTAGAAGGCATTTTCTTCTCTGGGAGGTATTGCATATTCAACTCTTACTTTGGGATTATTACAGAAGTTATCCGTTAAGTTTAGTTAGATATCTTTTGTAAGAAAAGAGCATTTCAAGTGGCTATCTGTAATTTGAAAGATAATTATGTGTTCTCATAATTAGAACTAACCTCAACGGTAGTATTTTAAAAGTTTTCACTTATAGTGACATACTTTCTGGTTATACTCAGCTTCTGTGCGATTTTTTGGCTTAAGAAGAGGGGAATGATGCCGGGCTTGACGTTCTCTAACGAGCTTATTTCTAGAGACGAGGGTCTCCACTGTGATTTTGCTTGCCTCCTATATAGGTAAAAGAATACTTGTCATTTTTCCAAATGTCATCACTTTGAATGATGAGGAAAAAAAATATGTCTTTCTGAGTAATTTTGCAGTTTACTTAGGAAGCAACTACATTGGCAGAGAATTCAGCTTATTGTGCAAGAAGCTGTTGAAATCGAGACCGAATTTGTTTGTGATGCTCTTCCGTGTGCACTAATTGGCATGAATTCAGATTTAATGAGCCAATATATAAAGTTTGTTGCCGATCGACTGCTGGTATATGCCCCTCTCTCTCTCTCTCTCTCATTCAGAAAATGGACTGCTTGAGAAAATAACTGTGTTTATTATTATGGCTCTCAGGTTGCATTAGGGTACCAGAGGATGTATAACGTGAAAAACCCTTTCGACTGGATGGAATTCATATCTTTACAGTAAGTACATGAAAATTTGAATCTAATTTGATTTTTGGATCGACAATCATTTTTGGTTGATTATATTCTTGTAAATGAATTCAGTACAAGTTTTGCCTTGCTGAAACTTTCTTTCATGTTTAGCTTTTTTTTTTTTATGTATGCATATTAATTTTTTCTGAATATTATTTATATTGCAGAGGAAAAACTAACTTCTTCGAGAGGAGGGTGGGCGATTATCAGAAGGCCTCAGTCATGTCGAATTTGCAAGAAAGTTGCGAAAACTACACGTTCAAAATGGACGAGGACTTTTAGTTCTTTCCCTTTTTGTTATTCTGTTGATGCCTGATTTTTTAAATATTTTGGGAACATTTTATTGTAGTATAACATGTAAAATTTTCAGTGACCTGAGAAATTATAGAGCAAACCTCTCATTCAGCTCATATGCTACTTTTTGCTCACCAAAGTCGCATTATGTTTGAAAATACAATTAGGTTTAATGTGATAATAGGAATGAAAATTCAGTTATATACAAGAAATGCCTTTTTAACCTTTTCAAGGGAAGAAAAGTTTTCTCATTTTGTATTATTTGTTGCATTTTATATATCAAAAAAGGGCTAAATATTAGTAGCACCTGGAGAACATAAGTACTTTAGTGGTTAGTTTGTTATAATTTCTAAACATTAATACACACTTAAAATGTCATATTTTTCTTTATATCATTATTTCAGTAAGAAAGAGTACTATTCAAAGGTAAAACATTGGTCTTCGCTGTTGGTCAGTATTGAAGCTCATTCAACACAAAGAGCCACAACACAACATAAATACCTTACATGTAACACTACAAAAAGTACACAAAGTCTGAGGAAAACTTATCAATTTATTTCTATTCTGCATTAATTTTCTAAGGGCTCAGCTTCAAGTTCTTACAGTTGAGCTGGCACTGAGACTATTCCTGATGTGGCAATGTTTAACTCTGGAAAAGACAAGTGTTGCTGCTAATATACAGTATTTCAGTAGGAAATTAAACCTAAAAAGAAGAAAATACTAATAACGCTCTTCAAGCGACGAGTCCAGCATGGCTAGCGAACACCCGTAAGAGCCAAATTCCTGAAGTTAAACATCACAAAGAGTTAACTTATAGGCTATTAAACAAGAAGTGAACTAACTGATAAAGAAAAAGAACCCATATCCATATCGTTTATCAAAGTGTCGAGTTTATACACAAGTAACCCAAAGCAATATAGCAGGATTTGTATCTCACAGCTTTACATATTTCCATATATCAAAGGCATCTAGGAATAATTGTAGATGTCTTCATTTTGTTGTAAGAATTTTAATACAATGATGCATAAACATTTCTTTCAGATCTTTTGACTTCTCCTTCAAATGGCTTAAATGACGGAAACTTGTGACAAAGAACAATGCACAACATTCACATGATATGGCTACATTTTGCTCAACGGGTGCAGTTTAGAACTTTACGCACAACATAAAAGCACAAAACACCAAATGTTCATTAGTGTTCAAACGAAGGAATAGGCTTCCGCATTATAAAATACCTCTCTTAACATCCTAATCGAACCAGATAACAAACAGTAAAATTAGAAAGTAAGTAGAGAAGAACATTAGAGTTAAATAGAAAACAGGAAAAGAAAGCCTTGAATGCAAACAATTCTCAGTTTATCAAACTAAATATTGCTCAAAACACAATGACAACATCTTACTTTGTGCAAAGGTTCGCAAACTAAAACCTCAGAAGATTACATATGATTAGCGAAACATAGAATCTCATGTTGCCCATCGAGAAATTAGTGGAGACAAAATCTTCATAACAGATTCATAGCAAAATAATGAATGATCAAGAAATAGTTAGTCGGTTAACATAATGCTCAGAAAATACAAACCCATGAAAAAGAGAAAAACAGAAACCCCGAACCCCATATGTATCGAGCAACTACCATGTTCTTATCACAGTTTGATGCCAAAAGAAAAGCAACATAACCAAATTCTCATCATTAGCCACTGGCTAGAAACACACAAGCGAAATCCATGGCATACACCAACCAGTTTACCAGACAGACTCAACTACACAAGATGTCCATAAAAAAATGCAATCATATGCCAAGCAGAAGGTTGTGAATTTTTCAATCAAAACTCCAAATTCAACCAAACAGTTCTGCACTTAAATTCCAACCATCATATCAAAATGCAAAACCTGGCACCAAATTACTGAAAAGTGACAGCAAAATTCACAGTTTAATGCCAAAAGAAAAGCACCAAATTCTCATCATTAGCCACTGGCAAGAAACACAGTGGTAAAATCCATGGTATACACCAACAAGCTTAAGAGACAAACTTAACTACACAAAATCTCCATCAGACAATGCAATCATATGCCAAGCAGAAGGTTGTAATTTTTTCAATAAAAAATCCAAACTAAACCAAGCTCCTAAACAATTCTGCAGTTAAATTCCTACCATCATATCAAAATGTAGCAACACCAGCACTANTAAATTACGAAAAAAAAAAAAGAAAGAGAAAAAACAGCAAAATTGCAATCAAGAATGCAATATTCCAAGCCAACTCACTTCTTGTGACGCCGTCCACGTTTAGTGGGACCCCACCCCTCGAGCTTCGACACCGGGCACCCGCACCTCAGGCAGAAGAGAAGCACGGCCCGCCCGTTGGGTGGGGCCATCTTCCGCAGCTCGGCCCGCACGCACTCGTAGTCCGGGTTATCCTCGCTGCCCCCTTTCCACGGCAGCGCGTTCACATCCCTCACGGCTTTGCTCCTCTCCCCCAACACCAGTAGCTCTTCTCCCTGCAGCTGCAAATCGAACTCGATCGACTTGTTGAGGCCCCGGCACCCGCTCCGCCCGCACCTCTGCGACCGGCGGCCGCAGCAGATCTCGAAGGTGGCGGCGAAGGCGGCCAGGGAGAGGAGGAAGAGGGCGGGGAGGAGGAGGTTGGGTTGGGGCAGGGAGGAGATCAGGTGGCGGCACGATTGGGAGATTAGGGCGGATAAAGGGGGGAGGAGGAGGGAGAGGGATCGGAGGAGGTAGGAGAGGTATGAGGCGACGAGGAAGGCGCCGGAGAAGAGGACGAGGGCGAAGATGAGGAGGTCGAGGGTGGCGGACGGGGACTGCCGGCAGAGGGAGGGACAGCTTGGGGGATGCGACGGGGGGTGGAGGGGTTTGCCGGAAGCAGCGGCGGCGGGTTTTCGGAGGGAGGAGGAAGGTGGCATGGCAATGGTGGAGGAGAGAAGGTGAGGGCGCATGTTATTGGGGCGATGGTGGCGGATAGGTGGACGGTGGCGGAAATGGGTGTATTTCAGGGGTGGAAAGTGGGTGGGGGGAACTGCGCAGGTTAGCAATGTTGGGAGTGGGTGTGGCGATGCGCACGTTAGGATTGGGTAACCGAAAATTCCAAATAGGGTTTAATTTTTACTAGTTACGGTTGTATTATAAATTAAACTAGTACGTAACCTGTGCGATGCACAGGATGTAAAATTTGGAAGAATAATATAACCTCACGTGCATTAGGATCGAAATTGAAATCATTAAAATAAATAGGAACATTGTTGAATCATAAAAAGTTCGTAACAATCATATATTATTAAAAACCTCTTTGTACACAACATTATGAGTTTGATTATTTGGTAACTCCTCACTATCACAAACTAATATTTTCAAAAGAGACAAATCCTAAAAATTAAACTAATAATTTTGGTGAACAAACTAATATTTTAGGATTGGTGAACAAACTAATATTTTAGGGTTTCTAGGATTTGTCTCTTTTTGGTGAACAAACTAATATTTTAGGATTGATTATATGAATAAGGCTACCTATTTGGTGTTCTTTTCATTCATTTTCATTCAAACAATCCGATGACTTGTATAATGAAATCCGAATCTTAAGCCGAAATATTTAAAAAAGGAGTTTTTAAAAATTGAAAAGTCAAGACAATCAGTTCAGATTGATTAAAGGTCAAATAATATCCGCTCCTTGAAATAAAGACGCGTGCTATCATTAACCAAATATCCAGTTATTGATATAGAGTGGTTAGCAAAAAATAGAACGCGATAAGGACGCTTCATGGAAATATCAATGGGATAAGGTCATAACAGATCGCTATACATTTTAACGATAAAAGCTCAGATGAAATGATTTATGATAATTATGTCGTAATTAATGAATTAATTAGATGTGTGAAAAAGACATAATTAATGAAAAGTGTGAAAAGGACATAATTAATGAGAAGTGTGAAAATGACAAAAACTTACCGGTTTTGGAAAATATTTAATGCAAATCCGACATTGACCATAATTTGACCTACTATTTTGGATAAATGTTAATTCTTATTATATAAGTATAGATATATAAATAATATTAATCATAATTTATTTATTATTTTTAAATTAAATTGGATTGAATATAATTTGATCGGATGGATCGAAAATCGATTTATAACCAGTCTAATTCGCTTGAGTAAAATATTTGGAATCCGTCAACACCAGTCGGTTGGACTGGTAGGATCGATACGATTTTCTAAATAAATTTTGTTATATTTAAAGTTATTTTAAATAAAATTACATATTTAAATAAAATAGAGATTTATAAATTATTTATCATTTAGTTTAAACATTTGAATTTATAAACTGCTTAGATATCTAAGTAACAAATTTTATTTAAATTTATTACAAAAAGTACTATATATATATTAAAATATTTATAAATTAAAATCTGAACAAACAACAAATGATTTAATAAAATAGCTTGATCGTTTCGATGACGGTCCAGTTCTGAAAACCTTATATTTACTGTACATAAATAAATATTATAATAAAATATTTAATTCACATAAATATTAATAAAATAATATATAAATATTCATAAATCATTAAACATGTTGTCATAAAATTATTTTTAATACGACTATTTGAAGTTTGGACTACATCACATTCACGTAATAAAATATTTTCAATATAAAATTTATATTTAGGTTCAATAATCGATTTGGTGTGGTCGAACTGATACATAACTTAGTCACCTGGGACCAACCAAATTGTGTCAATTTTTTTTTTACTATTTTAAATATCACCTAAAAGTAATTCAATCAACCTGGACAGGACCCTAATTCAATCACCCGATTGATCTGAAGAAATTTTCTTATTTTCTTTAAATATATTTAATTTTATGAAATAAAAATATTTTATGATTCATATAATAAATGTCTACACCAAATGATAGTATATTAAGATTATAAACTATATATCTAAAGATGAATTAATTATTATTTATTTTATGCATATTAATAAAAAGTAAACATAGTAATTTTAAAAAAAAAATAAGATTAATTGATTGATTATGCAATTTAAAGAATATTTTTAGCGTTCAATATTTTTTTTAAAGACACAAATATAAAAACCGAGATTCTAAAATTTTTGTTATATTTTGAATTGAGATTTTATAAATATAGAGACCGAGATTTTAATGTTGTTCGTTGTTTCTAATAAAAAAATAAAATAAAAATATACACACTTAATAAATCTTAGCCGGATTTTTTTTAAAATAATAAAATGAACTAAATCCCAAAATTTAAGGTAGCATTTAATGATGTATGATTTTTAAAGAAAAAAATAAAAAAAATAATAAAACTTACTATTTATAGGCTACATTAAATTCTTGCCTATTTTTTTGCTACTATTATTAGTAAATGGTAATTCTTATTTTATATATATATATAGATATAGATTTCTTATTATTATTCCCACTAAAAATATATTTACTAAAACGCAACATAAACTAAAATTATTCTGTAATACATAAGATTATGATGCTTCACCTTGACTTTTTTTTTTTTTTTCAATGACATTTTCGTCAATTTCCATCTCGTCTATGTCGAATTCTTCTTCGTCATCAATTTCCATGCTCATAATAATGCTAATTTTTTTTTTCATGATTGTAAATATTTTCAAATCATACGACACGTGTAAATTAGCCCATTTCTTTCGGTCTATGAAACGTGACATAGGAGTCCAATTGCAAATGACTCCTAATATATGTTCACTTTGCTTTCGTGTGTGCGTAACGTGTTTGTTATGTGACTCAATCAAGCGTTTCAAATGTGAGACCCATGAAACAGTCTAATTATACCATGCACTTTTAGAGCACGAAACTAAATGATAAAAACTTCATAAATTTAAAAAGATAGTGCTAACATTCGAACAAATTCTTCACAAAATTACAGAGTAGAAATTGCATTGTACTACTTGCTCTAAATCCACTTTTCTTGATTTTGGCTCTAACTTATTTTAATTTGATGGGATCAAGTGGAAGGCAAGTGATTTTATATTATCTAATAATCATTTTGTATGTGGACTAAAACTCACACGAGGGCCACAATTAATGTCCCCCCCAAACCATAGAGATTTTTGTAAAAATTTAAGCCTATATATATATAATTAGCTGGATGTATGTATAAATTTCGAGGTCCACCAATTTTATTTATTTATTTATTTATCATGTACATAAGGTTGGGTAAACAGGATCTTATATTGGATTCCTTTGCAGCTTTTAGCTTAAGATAAGATATATATGTTGACAATGTGTAACTTATAAACCCTTATCTGTCACTTTTTTGGAGAACATTTGGGACACTATTTTGACAGGTGACAACAGAAATTAAGACATGACATTTTGTTATATACAAGTTGAAATGGATATGGATATCAACTTAAAATAGTCAAGAGTTCAAGAATTGACCAACAATTTTTCTACAAACTAATTTATTCAAGAATATTGCTAGGGAAGGAGAGTTTGATCAGAAAATAATTTTGACAGGGCGATTAGTATATATTTTCTTAATGAATTTGACAACTTATTATAATGAGTTTGATAAGATATAAGTTCGCGTATTTTTTGAAAATTGACAATTTAGTATCTCTCCTTTTAGCATTATATAATTGACTAGTTAGCGCGCGATATTGCATCTTTAGATGTTCGAGATTGATCATCGTGTAGTTAAAATTGGTTCGTATAGTTAGTGGACATAAATGAACGACGATAATAATATTGTGCGGGAATATAATTTTCACTTCTCATGACATTCTATGATACAATTAATACCTAGAAATACAAAAATAAAGTACTAATTAAGTTATGATGGTAAAAAGAATAATCAAATAATTATCACAGCTTAAACCATATCCTTTTTTTTTTCTTTTTTTTTTTTTTCAAATATATATATAGTTATTGAGATTTTAGTTTCTTACAATAATATTACAAAAACTGCATGCATGCAATATAAACTATAGCAAGTCAGAGCAGAAATCAGACACGAATACCATTTATTGTAAAATAAATTACAGAACTTCCATTGAATTTTTTCTTTTGCTAAGTTTCACCTTAAATCCCATNATGTAATTATAAACTCGAGATATACGTTAATACAAATTCTTGTCCGAGCTGCAAAGAAGCATTCTAATGCAAGCTTTGATAATGTAGAGCTTCCCCTTCATCTGCCTCACCATTTTTTTCCACTTTCCGAGCCTCTCCTCCATTGGTTTCGCCAGCAAATTAGTAGAAAACAAGCCCATATATATTTATTCAAACAATTCCTAACAAAGAACTGTCACAAGAAGTTTTAAATCAGTCAACTTTTGTCTGAGATTAAGACATACATAATGCAGAGTTTGTAATTGTAGGGACAGTTAAACAGTAGCCTCAAAATATCCAGCCGGCACCACCATGTGCACACGAACCTTGTATTGCACCGTATATATGTATGTACATAACATGCCATTAAATTGCCATATTTTGCCAACCGTGTGTGTAATTCAAAAGTACGTTACTATCCATTGTTTTTTATTTTATTTATTTATTTATTTTGTAGGATAATGTTATTTTTTTTTTATGTATAAATGTGTATGAGGCTGAAGTTTCTAGAGACACGAGAACTTTGAATAACAGATTAGAAATTGATTTTTTTGCTTATATATTATATATAATCAATATAGTTGGAATTTGATGATTTAAAAATATATTTCCAACGGTTTATTGTTGCATGTAGAAATTTTCGTTTCAATTTTAATTTATATTTTTATCAGTCAATAATTCAAACCATTGAAAATTTGTCGTTAAAATCATCAAAATCCAATACAAATTCTAATGAAACATTTTCGTTGGAATTGATTCAAATATCCATAATAATGTTCGTTGGAATATACTGTCGTTGGAAGTCTTTTTTGTTGCAATTTGATGTTTTTTATAGTATGTATTATGTTAGGCTGCCTAACCATATACCCTTTCAATACATATACATACCTTCACACTCAAATGTCATAATTTAAAATATAATATAAATAAAAATATGATTGTATAATAATGAATAGACAACCTAATAATTTAAAATATGCATACCTTCACACTCAGCTGTTGGCTGTACTATTCAGCTAGGGACTGTGTATCTTGCACATTTGTATCTTGCACATTTGTGCGCTTTTGATTTATAATACCACTATCGTTTCGTAAAAAAAAAAAACATTTGTGATCGCTAAAATGTTGTTACAACTGAATATGCACATTATAATGGAAAATACAACCTAGAGTATTTTTCATGGTAAAATGCAACATGCACTTCATGAATATTCGTAATTTTCAACGTCACGTGTCTACTTTTGCAAATGAACATATATAGGGTCAAGACATAGATAAAGTTACAAACTATAAATATTTATGAAGTTCAAGTTGCATTACCATGAACAATG